GCAGCCTTCAGAAGTGTTCTTGGTGGGAATGAAAAGGTCACAGGGCAACACAGATAGAAATTAATTTACAAAAAGGAATCACTTTTAACAAAGTATCTGTTTCCAGCTTTGCTGACTTTGAACAGATGAAAGATAGGCCTATATCTCTCTACTAATGATAGCAAGAAACAAGATACAGACTAGTAAAATTGTTACAGCACTGAGGTACTAAAAAATGAAGAACTCATTGCAATAGCTACATCTAAATCTCAGAACAAAGAAAACTAAAGAATGTCTTATCTACACCTTTAATTTTTTTGGTTTTAAAGCTCTGATATAGTTCTTTGAACTAGTATAACTCCTTCTATAATGATTTCATCTGGTACCATTGCTGCTGCTGCACTGCCAGAAAAGTGGTAAAAATACTAGACAAATAAGGGGCCTGTCAGTGAATGCCATCAAATGCGAAGGAAAGGACATAATAGTAAGTACCTGGAGCAGTCATCTTCCAAAAGCATCTCCAAAATCTGCCTTTAGGGATGTAACTATCTCAGCTCTCACAGCCGTAAGAGAAGTGTGCTGCTTATTAATATTTCAACATTAACTTTGTTTCAGACATTTGTAATAAAGCCACTAAAATAAACAAGCACATTTAATAAGATTAAGACACATCCTTTAGAAAAACCTTCATTTTTACCAACAGGTTCAACGATAAATGTGTATCTCACAGAGGAGATACTTACTCAGAATAACAGCACTAAAAATTAGATAGTTTCATCTGGTGAGAGACTGAAAGAAACAAAGCAAAGAAGCAGGACAGAATATGCCAATTAGATTTACAAGTAGTTTTTGAAGTAATTATAGGGTTATGTAGTGAATACATCAGAAAGTAGTAACAGGAGTCTTCCTTCCAGTCAGTGCCTTAAAAAATTACCTGACCCCTACCCGAATTCTTAACATCTAAGATGCTAACTGTAAGATGCCTGTATGATTTCTAACCAGTGGAGTCAACTCAATACTGATCACTGGGCAGCAGAAAGAGTTCAGCAGTAAAGCCACCAGTCATCATTGTGGGACTGGTATAACACATCTGCAGTAATTTGCCATTTCTTCTCATGCATCTCTGTGTATTTTTATTTGTACTTTTGAGGATTTCTGTAGCTGCCATAACAAGACAGCCTAGTACATTTGCCCCATACTGATCCTCTCCCCAGCTGATAGCTCCTATGAGGAGACCCAAAACTGGGAACACAGAGCCAGAGGAGATTACAGCAAGTGACACCAAGAGTGAGTTCTAATGGAAAAAGAGACCCCAAGAGAGACAATATCCTTCTGCAGGCAAGTCATGGTCCCTCTCCCCACTGGACTGGGTGACACCAGCATTGATGGATGTTCAGAAACAAAGGCAACAGTAGCATTTTTGTCCTAATATTGTATACATTTACTGTGGACATCTCCAAGGCTGCCTGGTGTAGCACTCATGAGCTAAAAGGACACATTTTCCCATAACCAGTAAATAAGGAAACAAAGTGGATCTGAAGGAAACAACTCCGTGCACTAGATCTGCAAATACACCAACTTCTAGACACCAGGGGCAAGTGGATACTCAGCTTAGTTTTATTTAACATGTAAGAATGTGAATATTACCAGCACTGACTTGTTACACTCCCAAAGCCACAAGAAGCTAGAATTACTCCTTGTAATGTAAGTTCCCTATATTTGACCACAGTAGTGAGTTCAAGCTTCATGACAGCAAAAGCAAAGCCAGCTGACTGTAAACCCACTGGGGTGAGCCCTGCTTCTCTCTTCACAGTCCTCTCTTTGAGCTGGGCACATCTCACACTTGCCTTTTTCTCACCCTTCTTATTTTTGCACCAGACTCTTCACTTACAGGAAAACAACCACAACAGGAACAGTGCAGGAAATGGTAAAATTCTTTGATGCTACCCACCACATTTTAATATGTGTTTTTTCTTGTACTGTTTAAAGGTTTAATTATTTTAATATTTCATTAGGAGTAGTATTTTCAGATACCCATTTTCCTCAAAAATCTTACTTTTCATTGTTTGGAAATTACTAGTTCTGCCATATTTCTGTTCTCTGTGTTGAAAACTTGTTTGAGTAAATTTCACTATTTTGCCTGTTGCTCATGAAGTTTATTACAAGCAAGGTATTTTAAAGATGAGATACAGCTTTTATATGAATTCACAAAGAGACAGCTTAAATTTTTTTGCCACTCAAAGGCTGTAACAGGAAAAGGACCAGAGTTCCTATGGATGATGTCCCCTTAGCATTATTTACTCGTATTTTATCTGTTGCTACTCTTCTGACTACTAGATGTTCCAAGGCTACTGTGTATGTTCACTCCTGCTTCCCAATATTTTGGCTTTAAACCTTTTTTCCCTACAGGAAGAATCTGGCCACAAAAGCATTAAAACATACTGTGAAGCCTGGGTCTGCACCAGTGCTTAAAGGAGGTTCATGCTGTCCTCATCCGAGTCTGGTCTCTGTCAGCAAGGTAGCACAGTTATTGCTGTCCCATTGCTGCAGACTGGGTAACAATTACACACAGCCTTCATCTACTGTCTCATTTTCAAATATCCACAAGACACTACAACAATAGTTACCCAATACCAAAGCTATTCTGTCATCTAATGAAACTTACCACTGACAGCCTTTCCTTGTTTATAAACAGCCTGTACCTCACACTAGAGAAGTATTTCCTCTGCAAAGCTTTCATGGTTCCCTTATTTCTGCTATTGTCTGTGCAGGCCTGAGTGGAGATTTAACCTACTCAGATAGTAAGAGTTGTATACAAAAACTTTGAAATCCTATGTCTTAAATTCTCTTAAGTGCTTGAACCAGGCACAAAAAGTTACAAAAAACTTCTCTGTTTATTTGTTCCTTCTTCCTTCCCCTACGAAGACACTGCCTGCACCAAATCTTCACACCTCCTACCACCTGACCTGTTTCAAATTTCCTACCCAAAGTTAATTCAACATACATCTGAGCATCCCTTTTGTCTGACTCATGCTCTCCTCTTCCTCATCTGCCAGTTATTATCAGCTTCCATAAGCTCTGCTGTTCATATTAGTTCTGCTGAACAATTAGTTCACCTTTTCTAGCTTCTAAACACATGCAGCAGATTACAGCATTTATAGACTTTCCTTTCTCCCCCATTCATAAAGAGCTGCTGGCATCTCCCATTGTGATGAGCGTCCTACTACTGGAGCACTAACAAGTTTTGACTACACACATGCTACCACTTTCTTCAGTAAGCGTCATGCCAGCTCATCACTGATTCCTCACACCCATCACTCACAATCCATCATCCTCCTTACCAGCAGTATCAAAAAACAGACAAACTAAATTGAGCAGCCCACAAAAACTCAACCACCTCTCTTCACAGAACAGGTGATGCCATAAACTCAACAAGTTAGAGGAAAAGAAGTTATCACAAGTTATTGAAACTTTTAAAGTAATATTCTAAAAAACCCTCAGTAAACTGAAGGGAAAACACACACCACAAACTAAACCGGAGTTTATTACCACTACCCAACTGACACCATCCGAGATGATTGCTTCAGCCACCTTCACTAGAGAACCAGTTCAGGAGACAAACTGGACCACAGCCAAAGCTGCTGAAGTCTCACCGGGAAATAACGCCTACCCGGCACCACCCGGATAAAAGCGGAAAGCTCTGCTGCCTTCAGCCACTACTTTCAGGGAGTTTCTCTCTTACAGATGTTCATCATACAGACTTCTGGGAATGTGATAACTTTCTTGGTAAAAACCATTGGCTCCTGAACAGTTGTAAGATTTGAACTAAGAAAACTGTGTTACAATCCTGAGCACTGACTATTTCCTAAAATGACATCGGCTGAACTTTTTATATCATGAGCTTTATTTATGCTCACCACCTGATTTTTAGCACCCACGACCGAGCATCCATTCATGAGCAGAAACAGAAAAAATGATCAGTCCAGTGCCACTCAACTATACGGAAGAAATAAAGACAATACAACAAAACTAAAAGCGTAACTCCTGCCGCCTTTCGCTGTAAAGCTTTTAGACAGCGCTGCTAAAGCACAGGTAATTAAAAGACACGAAAGAGGCCGTGACCCTCACGTCCCGGGGGAGGCTGCCGCATCTCCAGGGGCCTCCTAACGCGCGCACCGCTCCTCAAGCCTAAAAACCCCGGGGGCTCAAGCCGCGCTCTGGAGCGGGACGAGCGGCACGGCCGCAGGGCGCTCCCCCGCGCCGGCAGCCCGCGGGCTACCAGCAGAGGTCCCTCCTTGGCCAGTTTTGCGGCGTGTTTTTGCTGCACTTGAAACTTTCTGGAGAAAACCCGGGCTCAGGTCCGCGTCTTCCCCAGGCTCGGGCAGAACCGCCGAGACAAAAGCGCCCGCCCGGCTCCTCGGGAGGAGCGCTCGGGGAAAGCGGTTCTCCAGTCTCTCCGTTTCCCTCCCGAATTTGCCTTTTTATCCTTCGCCCCCGCCCCGGGCAATTAAACGGAGCGGGGGAAGAGTGCCCCCCGGCCCCGGCGAGGGGGCGGCGGTGGGGGCGAGCGCGGTGCGGGCGGGGGTGGGAGAGGAACTGGGTGTTAAGTGTTCCTGAGGAAGTTGCACAACGAGAGAGGGACTCTGCTTGTTTACCGGGTGGGACCGGGATCCGGGAAAAGGAGGTTGCCTCCGAGTGGAAAGGAAAAAAAATTAAAAAAATGTTACCTTCTCCTCCCTCCTCCCCTCCCCCAGCGCGGAGGAGAAGGAGGAGGAGGAGGGGGGCGAGCTCTCTTTTTTTCTAGGGGGCTGCGGGGGCTCGCTCCTCGGCCGCTCGCAGCCGATCTCCGGGCATCCCTCGGCAGAGAAGTCACCCCTTCCCGCGGGAGGGGCCGGCACACGCCGCCTCCCCGGAGGGCTCGCCCCCGCCCGGCCCCGCAGCCGCCAGCGCCCGGCCCCGCGCTGCAACTTTTTCTCTCACGCTCTCGCGTGCGCCCGCTCCGACGGGGAGGGGGGAAAACCATGGGGGTGGGGAGCGGCCGCCGCTGCGGCCCCGACGCGGCGCCCCCCGCCCCGGGCGCTGTAGCCCCGGCAGCCTCTCCGAAGCCCCGGCCGGGGGCGGGCGGCCGCTCCGCGGGAGCGCCTTCCCGTCGGCCGCCGCTCCCTCCCCCCCCGAAACTGGCGAGAACAAGTGTGCCTATATCCTGTTGTTATATGCACCGGCTGCGGAGACGGGGAGGGAGAGACGGGCGTGTGCGCGGGGGGCCGCTCCCCCACCCCGGCCGCACTTCAGGCGAGAGCGCGCAACTTAACAGAAAACCCGCGTCCTATTCCCTGCCCCTGCCTGCCCCCCCCGCTCCCTGCCCCCGTCGTCGGCAAAATACGCACTCACGTGTATGTGCGCTCACACACACCGCCGGCACCCCGGGGCCAGCCCCCGGCAGCCCCCCGAGGCCGGCCCGCGGAGCCGGCGGCGGTGACAGGCGCCGGCCCCCGCCGCCGCACGCAGCCCGAAGCGGGCAGGGGCCGTTCCCCCGCCGCCTCACATGTCTGCCGCAGCGAGCGCGGCGCACGCACCGCACAGAGGCAGGAACTGAGCACTCGAGCAAAAGACTTTTTTTTTTTTTTTTTTCGTTTCTTAAAAAAAAAAAAAATTGCTACAAGCTTGCTTTTTTTTTTTTTTTTGTATGTGTATGTGTGTGCAAACTTTCCCCAAAATGGCGGAAATTGGGAGATGATTATATTTTAAATATCTCTCGCACACAATCACACAAAGTGCAGGAGCGACGGAAAATACAAACTCTCTGCTGCGCGCTGGTAGAGGCCTTCGCACACGGGGACCCACGGCACATTCAACCGGTATATCCCGGCAGCCGCCACCTCTCGCCGCTTCCGACCAAAAAACCCTTTTTCGCACCCCTCTCCGCTGCGCATTGCCCCCTCGCAGCCCGCACTTCTCCCCGTCCTTCAGCCTGTGCGAACAAAGAGCCGGGGCTGCAGAGGGGGGGCTCGGGTGGCAGCGAGCCCCCTCCCTCCGCTCCGCTCCCTCCCCGCCCGGCGCTCACACGCACACCCGTGCCCCCCCACCTTCTCCCCCCGCCGCCCGGCCGCGGCACCCGCATCACATTGTTCCCAACAGCACGGCGGTGCCCCGTAAGTGTCATTAAATGGAGCCAACTGACAAGCTCATTGGTGGGGCAAGTCTGCAAAATGTCTCTCCCCTTCCCTTCCCCCTCCCTTCGGAACCCACTACCCCCCCCNNCATTTCCACAGCTCCCTCCCCCGTGTATATATATATGTACATACACATACGTGCGTGCGTGCCTGTGTATGTATATAAATATACAGCGCATATATATATACATGTACTCCCTTCATGTGTTTGGGAAGAGAAAAAGAAATACCAGGCACCTCTCTCTTTCTTTTGTTCCTCTTTCACACTCGTACACTTATGATTTAGTGAGATCCCCGGTGCCCCGGCCGCTCCCCAGCCACTTGCGAGTCACTTGCCCACTTTACCCGGCATTAACTTCCATCCTTTCTGCTCGAGGTGGTCGGGGAGAAGCCCCCCTCCCCTTCCCCAGATACGTTTCGTAAGGGAGGGAGAGGAGGTGCGTCTCTCCCTTTATCTCTCGCGCTCTCTCTAACTTTCATCCTCACCTAGGGGGAAAATTAAAACCCGTCACCAGCCTTTGCCATCGCGGCTCCCTAAACGGCTTGCGGATCAGATCGGAACCCGCCGCTCCTTACCCCCCCAAATTCTCTCTTTCTCCGTCTCTCGAGTAGTCCTGACAAATATGGTCCAGGGCTGCGGGCACAGTGAGCATGCGCCCGCGGAGCCAGGGCTGGGGAAAGGGGAAACTGCCGCCGCCGCCGCCGCCGCGGCTCCTCTTCCTCCCTCGCCTGCGCTGCCGCTGCGCCCCGGCCGCCCGCAGCCGGCACCCGGCAGCCGGCACCGGCGGCGGGCATCGCCCTCGCCGAAAACGCGGCTGCCGACAAGGGCTCCGGCGGAGGTGCATCCTCCCCCTGATTTACTGCCGACGCTGGAGGAATAATAAGGAGACTTGTGCAGCAGTCGCGCGCTATTTTGGGCGCTTTCAAAAATAACGCCTTGCACTTTTCGGGGAGGGGGAGGTCCGGTCCTCCAGGGTCCCGCCAGGTGCTGCCGAGGTTGGGTGGTGGGCGCCGGGGAACCCGGGAAAGCCTGTCTGTGGCTCTTGGCCCCATCCTCTGCGCAGAACAGACCTGGAGCAGAGGCAGAACAGCTGGGCACCAGTAAGGAAAGTGCGGGTCCTGCGGGAGAGGGGCTGCCCTTCGCCGCGGCCGGCGAGGGGATCCCCGAGGAGATGGTGAGAAGCCAGGCATCGCTGCGCCAGGCTCCTCCTGCACTCCCGAAATACGGGGTGCATTCGGTATGGACGCGTTCCTTGTGATGGGCCTCGTCTCGTTTACAACCCAACCAGCTCACAAAATAAAACTAGTCTCAGATGTGCCACCTGCTTGAATACTCTCCATCGGTGCCCTGTATTCCTAAAGACAAATACCATCTTCACTTATTTCTGTCTCTGATTCAGAAAACAGTGAAAACTGAAGGCCCTTGTTATTTCATGGGAATGCCCAGGATGGACTTCACCTGCAATGAGATCTGTTAGCAGAAGAACATTACACAACATAGACCTGTATGAGGCCTAAGCGTACTGGGAAACAGGGAGAATGGAGGATTGTGATCAGATGTAAATATGATACTTTTAAAACTGTATATACATATATATATATGCAGTTTGAGGCAAAGTATAAAAGAACACAGAACACAGTCTTAATTATACTAATCCTAATTTCTTTTTCAGACCACACAGCATCTCCCTAAAGTCAATCTGTCCTAAAGGCAAAAACTGACAAAATATATTCTGAATTTTTGATTGTTTGGCATATAATTAAATATCTCTTAAAATGACTCTAAAATCTCAATACATCTTTTGTTAATCCCAGTAATGATCAACAACCAAGTTTTGTCTTGCTTTTATATATACTCCCTTCTACAATTACATTTCCAACTTTGGCCCAAATTACTAGAACAGAAATGATGATATGTACTAATAGGCAGCCAGTAATAAGTATCAGTTGAATACCAATAGAAGTAAATACAAATGACAAGACTAAGTGCAACCTTTTAGGAATTATGGATGCATACTGTATTACCCTCTGATCCCCATGATGGGGACAGCATTGCGCTGGACACAAGATAGAGATGCTTCATCTCTGACAAGACTTCCTAGCTTCAGCTTCTGTTCAGTAGAGTATTTACTTCAGAATGTGTGTTAGAATATTTAAGAACCAAGCTTGACAACTCTGCTCCCTTAAACTATGCCCATGTTAAAACAGTTCAGACAATCAGGCTTTTACTATACTATCTTGACAGTTTCTGTCTATTTAAATGAATTTTTTTTTCACACAGTAAAAAGGAGCTCATAGTTAAGTATTTGCAGAATTGGTGCCTAAGCAAAATACATTATAGTTGTTTTATTATGAGCAATGATGAGACTTCTCACACCCCTTCAGCTCAAATGCATCATATAGGCTGCAGTTTTCATCAATAAACATATGTTCATTAGAAACTAATTACAGAAAACAGTATTAACCTAATTGTAATAATTAGTGATAACATACATTTTAACTCTTCTAAAACACAGATGCAAAAAAATAGTAAAGGGTGAGAAAATTCCTACTTTCCACCAGTGAACTCTTACTTGAGGAAATTTATGTGTTAGAAACAAAGAATAAACTGTAACTGAAGTAATTCAGCACTTTTTTGAAAATTATTTCCCAATGTTCCCAATGTTCAATGTTGTTGAAATGTTTTAAGTCAGACAGTTGCCAGAGAACTAGATTATTCTATTGTAGCATTAAATTAGCTGGGCTCTGCAGAAGATAGTGAAAGAATGGTGCAATTTGGTGTTCTTTCAAACTCTTTAGGATGCTTGACCTGTACTGATTATTCTCCAGATGATATTGATGTTTTGGGGGATGGTATAACATACCCTGTTAAGAAAATACATTTCTAAGAGTACAACTGAACTAGTTATCTTCCATCATTTTATTTATGCTTGAAAGACTTTGTCCCTTTCCTCTGAAAATCTTAAAAGGAAACATAGTCATATGTGTGAATGTAAGAATGTAGCCCCTTACAGAAAATGATGACACAGGTGGAAAAGCTGCTTGAAGGATGTATATTGGAAGTAGTAACTGAAACCAAGGATTTGAAACAGCGTGTAGCTGCCTTATTGGATCAAACAGATAACTCTTTGATTACAATAAAAGGACATATGAAATTAATAAAGGTACCTTCTGTTCTCTGTCTCTTCTTCGATCCTTGCCCTAATCATAGTGTGTCAGCTCCTGATGTATAATAAACCCATTATTTTGTCAATAAAAATTTATTGAGTAAAAATAGATTAAATATTATTCACATATGCTCTTTAAACATTAGTTCTGTTGCCATTTTATTTAATACTAGAATTCCATCTGTATTCCAAAGGCAGAGAATTTTAAACACTTGTTTTCTATATGTAAGTATGGCATTTAATATGATTTTGGCAGTATGTTTAATGACAGATTTTGGAGTAGCTAAATTTGGTCTCTCTCTGAGTATTCTTGTAACTCGTTGAATAGGTGTTTGTGCTGTAGCCAAACACTGATTATTTTTCTAGGAGCATGTGCATGCACATCCATATACATGGCTTCCAAAATTCAAATCTTGAGTACCATTTAAGGGGGTGAGAGTAAAGTAATGTACATTATCCATTCAGTTTGCATATTGGGTTTGTGTGATCTAGTGGCTCCTCAGCATGTATCTACATAAACCAAGAAAAAGAGAATCAGTATTTACATTTTACCAAATAATTTGACATTTCCAAGAACTTGATTTCTATGATACAGATTAACATGCCTTAAAGATGGCCTTGTTAATCAAAAATAGCCTGCATGGGATTTTTTATCACACTTCTAATAACCTGTGCAGCTCATTGTGTGACCTTTCTCACCAGTGGCAGTCATCAGTCTGTCATGTGATTCTTCCCCAACCTGGAGGGCAGGAAAAAGGGTTTGAGGGCAATCACTGGGAAAAAAAATATTGTATATGTTATGTAAAGCTCTAAGCCAGGAAAATGGAAGTCTGAAAGCTTTAAGAAGTTGGGAATGAAGAGAGAAGGTGTATGTGGCCATTTACCAATTGAAGCAAGCATGCTGTGGTCCATGGTGATTCCAATTCCTCTCAACAGTACTGTCTCCCTGTCCAGAGAACTTGATGTCCACACTGATGTTAAGAAATAATGACTGACTTATTATCAATAGAATCAACTGGCTTTGCCACTCATCCCAGAATATTTATCAAAGCTGATTCGAATGTCGTGCTAAACTGGAGAGCCAGTAATACCTCCTAGCTTTCAGATCTGTGTGCCTGCCTGACTGCATCCCAACTCCCTACCAGAGTGAGACATGGGTGGGCAACAGTCCTTTTTTCCTGGGAAGAAAACTTGAGCATGAGTACTTGAAAGAAACTGCAGTGTTTTCTAGAGAGGTTTCAGCCCAAAGTGCCCTGGATGTAGGTGTAGGTACAACCTGGGAGAGCTTGTTTCTGGAGACATTGATGAAACCTTTGAAAATTACTGCTTTTATAAAGTTGCAAGACTACAGAACTTTCCAGAGTTGGTCTTCATCCTAAAGAAATTCAAAGACAGATAGGGAAGTTATGGGTTTGTCAGTTCAGGAAGGAATCCAGAGTTATGTTGCATACTAAGGGTTTGGGGAGCATTGGACCAGAATAATGAGTTGTAAAAGCAGAAAAAGTAATTTGCAAGGGTGAGTCAAATGCCAATTAGGAATATTGATAAGGACTCTTGAACCAGAAGGCTGAAGTTAGAAGCTTGGACATGTGAGTTGGACACTAGGGGAGGGCTTGGAATACTGACAGATCTTATAAGAGTTGAAGGAAGCAGGAGGTGGCCCCAGACACAAGAGGTATGAAGATACAGCAGAGATTATGTGGTCTGGAATGGATGATAGGCCAAAAGAAATGGGTAAGAATAAAGGTCCCGAGGGAGAGGAAAGAAGGGGATAGTAGGAAAAGAGACACACCACAGAGAAGTAGTGTGGAAAGCGGCAGAGTGTA